AAAGTCAGATGCTTAACTGACTGAGCCACCCAGGTGCCCCTGGCCTTTGTATTTTTAAATACTTAATGGTGCATAGCTATATTTAAATGTGAAAAAGTCAAGCAAAAAGAAGTATTTGCACTAAAAGAGAATATCCCCTTTTGCCTTTTCCTGCCCAACCCCCAAACCAAGGAGTAACAGATGTTAATAGTTTGGGTCTCTGACTAGTCTCTGTATAATTGACATGTGGTAGAATATATTTATACACATTTCTATATGTATACGTATGTGTATATGTTAAGATTTTTTAGGGGCGCCTAGGTGGCTCAGTCAGTTAAGCATCCGACTCAGCTCAGGTCATGATTTCATGGTTTGTGAGTTTGAGCCCTGCATCCGGCCTGCTGCTGTCAGCTCAGAGCCCACTTCAGATCTTTTCCCTCTCTGTCTACCCCTCTCCCACTCGCAGTCTTTTTCTGTCTCTCTCAAAAATAAATAAATCAAAAAAAATCTTAAATCTATAAAGATTTTTGGTCTTTAATCTATAAAGATATGTCTGGAATACATATATACTAGTTGGGGACTTGATTTTTTTTTTTTTTTTTTTTTTTTTTTTTTTCATGTAAGAGAATGCCTTGAAGATCATTGATACCAATGTTTATATCTACCAAATTGATTTTAACATTTGCATGGTATATTACAGCATGGAGGTGCTGTAATACATTCTTGCCTGCTTTTGATGGGTGTTTAGATGATGGATAGTTTTTCACTTATAAACAAAGAATGAACATTTCCTTCTGCACATTGTTTTGTCTCTGAAAAATTTTTTTTCGAATATTATTTTGATGCTCTTTTAGCCTACAAAGAACTAATTAGTAGAATTCCATGGTGCTGTTGTCTGAATGTTTGTGTTCCCATAAAATTTATATGTTGAAATCTTGCCCCCCAGGGATGATGGTGTTAGGCGGTGGGGGCCTTTGGACCAGCAGGTGGGCCCTCAACAGAATACAACCATGCTGGCTCCTTGATCTGGGACCTCCTACCTTCCCCAACTGTGAGAAATAAATTTCTGTTTTTATAAGCTACCCAGTCTGTGTTATTTTGTTATAGCAGCCTGAGACTAAGACACAGGGTCCTGTGGTATGTGAAATAGTAACCGTGCACATAATTTATCACAGGAAGTCAATCAGAACGTGTTCCTGTCCCGCGTTTCTGCATCATCTGTTCTGCCTTAGAGTGCATTGGCATTTGTTGTTACAGGCACCGTTATCATTTGAGGACGTGGCCGTGAGCTTCTCCCGGGAGGAGTGGCGGCTCCTGGTCCCTGCCCAGAAGGACCTGTACCGGGACGTGATGCTGGAGAACTACAGGAACCTGGTGTCAGTGGGTGAGGACAGCATCACAGTCAGTTGTCTTTCATTTCTCATTGAGTAGAACCCATAGTGTCTCTGAAATATCTCCTGGTTGGCACTAACATGTTGTAGGGCATAGACTCTTATTTTCCCATTTGGCCATAGAGTGTATATGCCCTCCCTTCCCCCAGGAAAAAGATTTTACTTTACTGAAGTACAAATGATGCATCAGCTTTCTCCGGTTTTTGCAGGTGCCCAAGCTAAAATACTTGGTGCCAAGTCTTCAGTGATTTCCCATTTTACAGGATACCAAGCCAGCGAACCAGATTCACTCTTCCGGTTGGAGCATGGAGGACCACTGTGGGTAGTAGAGGGAGCAGCTCCGAGGCCACCCTGTCCAGGCGAGTGACCGAAAGGAAAACCAAGAAAACTAGAATTCCAGTCGGTCAAGGAAAGGTTAACACTCTGTTGTGTGGAGAGCTTTTCTTAGACCAGTTGGTGACACAAATATAATCAACTCCTTTCTGTATCTTTGTTCTTTATTAGGGCTGTTCTTTGTCAGCTATTAAAGGATGAGGTTTTCCCCCCACCCCGTTTTTTTTTGTTTTTTTTTTTT